GAGTAAGAGAGTGCTGAATCAGATGTCCGCAATTCGCGTGCCAGGATATCACGCCACGGCCGTCCTTGTCAGCGTAGCAGACACATGCGTAGATATACACACATGCACATGCACCCACACACACACACGCGCACGAGCAAACACATGCACGAAGACACACAAGCGCGTGGACATACACACAAACACACTCACACACGCACGTGCATGCGTTCGCGCGCCCACAACGTACGAACATACACGTGTGTCAACTTGCACACTCACAAGTGCGTGTGCGCGCGCACACACACACACACACACACGCGCGCACACGTGCACACACACCATTGTTGATCTGGTTCGGGAAGTCGCTGCGCCCCGTGGCCACGATGACGTCAGCGCGCGTCGCCACGGCCAGGTCGGGGTCGATCTCCGGCACAGGGTTGGCGCAGGCGAAGACCACGGGGTCCCGCGCCATGGTCAGCAGCATCTCGGGGGTCAGCAGGTTGCCCGCACTCAGGCCCAGGAACACGTCCGCACCCTCCACGGCCTGGCGGGGGTGTTGTTTTGCACGCGGCGCAGCGAGGGTTTGCATCAGGGGTGGGAGGCCGGCGCAGAGGGATGGCACGCGCCTGGTCGGGAGCCGGATGCCGGGTGGGGGTCGCCCCAGCGGCACGTCAGGCTCGTCCTGCTGCTCTTGTACGCAGAACCTGTTCAGCCCTGTCTGCCTGGCCTCCCAGCACGCAAAGCGAGAGCTACAGCACGGTGTGGCGTGGCGCGGCCCCTTCGGCCCGTCCGTGCCAGTGCCCGCCAATCCCCTGCCCGCTGTGCCCCCTCCCAGAGCGCACACACCTCCTGCAGCGTGCGCTTGTCTGTGTTGGCCGCCACGTCATACAGGTAGTTGTCGGGGGTGATGTCCTCACGCCCCGCGTACACCACGCCCTGCCGAGGTGCGACGCGCGGCGGCGGCCGGGGCAGGTCAGGCCACAGCCAGGGTATGGTGGTGCCAACCGCCAGCGGCGTAAAATCAAGGCAAGCAATGCCAACGCGAATGGCGACTGCGCGGCACAGAGGCTCAAAGCAGCAGCGGCCACATCCTTCCATACGCAACACCAATCTCCAAAGTGTTCAGGTCCACGCCACCCTCAAGTCGCACAAGTCATCCCCCACCTCAGCATCAAGCAAGGCTCCAAGCACACACACACACACACACACACACATACATACACACACACCCTCCAGCCCACAGCACCCCTTGGCAAACCCCTCCCAGCAAACACGTGCCCCGAACCCCCACTCCCCAGCAGCCACACACACCACAGCCGCCGCCCCATAGTATCGACTCCCTGAGCACGCGCACGCACGCACAAACGCATGCAGGTCCGCCCGTCTCCTTCAACTGTCTTCACCCCCCTCAGCGTCTCTTCCCAACCCCAGGCACACACACACACACCTCACACACAATCACACCCAGATCCCCTACACACGCACACACACACACTCGCAACAACTCAACCCCCCCTCCTAATAAATACCCCGCCCCCCCCCCCCACCTTTACGTCCACAGCCAGCAGGTTGTCCCTGCGTATGCCCAGCGCCAGGAACTGCTTGGCGCAGGAGTAGCCCGCGGCCCCGCAGCCACAGACCGTGACCCTCACGTCCGCCATGTCCTTGCCCACCAGCTCCATCGCGTTGATGAGGCCTATTTTGGGGGTGGGGAGGGGTGTCGGTGAGTAAGTGTGTAAGTTTGTTGTATGGGGAGAGGAAGCGGGGGTTGTGGAGGGTGCCTGTGCTATGGGACTTGAGGAGGGAAGGGATTGGCGATTTGTGAAATTGGTGCGCAGGGACATATGGTATGGTTGGGAAGGAGGGGGCTGAGGGCGGTGTGTGAGGTGCAGGAGGGAGGAGAGTTTGAGGGCGTGCTCAATGGGTGCTGGGAGGGGGCGAGGCCTGAGAGAGGTGGCTGCCGGGCTGGGCTTGGCGGCAGGACCTTGGCAAGCATCGCCCCCTGCGGCGCACACCACGACCCCACGGCGCACAAGACAATGGACACCAACTCACACACACATACACACAACGCAAACACACACGCAACACATGTATACACGCTTAAGTCCACAAGCAAGGGCAGGTGCTGCACCTGCGCCGGCGACGATGGCGGTGCCGTGCTGGTCGTCCTGCAGACCAGGGGCAATGGGGGTGGGGGGACCGCAGGCCGCAGTGAGGGAAGCCTTCAAGCAGAGGAGGGGGGTGCTGCTGGGCACCCGGAGTGGTGGGCACACTAAACAGATGCAGCTGGGGTATCCCCACATTGCTAAGCTCCCCGTAAAGCCTCCATCCCTGCGCCCCAAACGCGTGTGACAGAATCCCGCCAACACCCACGATCCCCGCTAATATAAACCCCTCAGCCCCCAGTCCCCCGCCCACAAACCACTAATTCCCGCATCGCTCCGCCAGCCCCGCTTGGTCGGCACTCCCCCAGCCGCCGCCTCACCGCCGCTGCAAAACCCATCCCCTACTAACCCATCCCCATCCCTCGCCCCCCTCACGTGGAACACGGGTATGGCCATGCGCCGCTGGCACTCCCTCTCGACGTAGAAGCACTCTGGGCTCTTGATGTCCTCCAGGTTGATGCCACCAAACGTAGGCTCAAGCGCCACCACAATGTCCACCAGCTGGCGGTGTGTGTGTGAGTGCGTGCGCGCGTGTGTGAGAAAGTGCGTGTATGTGTGCGTAAAAGCGTGGGCGTGCATGTGTGTGTGTCGTTCAAGTGGAGGCAAGAGAGCAGGCTACCCACATGCATGCAACGGTGGCCTTCAACACGCTTTGTTTACCTGCACCACCACGGGCGTGTCCAGGCAAACAATGCACACGCACGCGCCCTCCTCCGCACACGTGTGTACCCAAGCTCAGCAGGCGCCGCCCCCCCCCCCCTGCGCACCTTCTTGGGGTCCTCCTCCGCGACCTCGATGTCAAAGGCGTCCAGGTCAGCAAACTTCTTGAACAGCACAGCCTTGCCCTCCATCACGGGCTTGCCTGGGGGGGGGGGTGAACGATGGGTATGGGTG